TATAGTGTTTGTGAAGATCAGAGTTGGCCTTATTGGCGTGGTCAAGGGCAATCTCGAGCTCGTTGATGTCGGACTCGAGCTTCTTCTTCAAGCGAAGAGCCTCAGCCTTACCCTTGGCTTCAACCTCAAGGGAAGCTTGCATGGAGTCGATGGCTCTCTGGTGACACTTACTGTGGAAGAAGCAATCAGTATTGAACTATTGAAGAATTTTAAAAAGAAGAATATATATATATATATATATATATATATATATATATATATATATATATATATATATATATATATCTGTTATGCATAGCCCAATCATATATTGTAAAAGTCTGTTACTTACCGAGTATTGTCAAACTCTTCTTCCTTCTCCTGAACACGTCTGTCAACCTCTTGCCTGACTTGGCTGAGCTCAAGCTGTGTTCGAAGGACCTTATTCTCTTCCTGTTCGAGAGCTGCTTCAGCTTCTTCAAGGGCAGCCTGAAGTTCCTCCTTCTCGAGTTCTAGACGTCTGCAACTCTTTTGGGCTTCGTGATATGCTCGACCTCCCTCGCCGATCTGGTCCATCAGGTCTTTAGATTCATCATTTAGGTTCTTGTTTTCACGGCGGATGCTGTCAAGTTGTTCAATATTTTCCTCGTATGCAGCCTTGAGACGGAAATGCTCAGTGGAGTAATTGCGGCATTCCTTCTGAGAGGCATCAAGTTCCACTGCAAGGTCGTCGACCTTCATCTTCCATTCAGAAATAATCTTATCAAAGTTCTTTTGCTTCTTCTCGGCGGCATTAGCTAAGTTTTGTGCACGCTCAGCGGCAACCTGCAGATCGTCCAGCTCTGCAGCAGCACGCATCTTGGTCTTCTCCAGATGAAGATTTCTGACATTGAGAGACTCGATCTGCATTTCAGCTTCCTCGAGACGAGCAGCGAGCTTCATGCGAGAAGCTTCAATTTCTTCTACACGAGCAACACCCTCAGAATCATACTTGGAGCGCCACATGAGAGCTTCAGCATTGGCCTTGGAGAGCATGCGAAGAACGTCTCCCTTGGCTTCGCTCTCTTCATCCAGTTGCTCACGAAGGGCTTCGATATCCCGCTCCAAGTTGCGGAACTTACCCAGGAGGGTAGCGCGAGCCTAAGGAGAGAACATAACAGTAGTCACAATGTCTTGGATTTTTGTCATTTGACTCCATTCTATCAACGATTCCGAGAACAATTCATGAGCAGTTTCATTCAAAGAAGCGCCCATGTACGCAATCCCTGTCCATAAAAGACTTACCCTACTTTCTTCATCACACAGCTTCCTGCTATCGTCCAACTGGTTGGTGAGGGAAAGCTTAAGCCTTGAAAGTTGGCCAACTTGGTTCTCTGCTTCTTCCAGCTGACGAACAAGGTCACCATTTTCACAGGCGAGCTTCTTCTTGGCAGCATCAAAGTCACTCAATGTACGGTTGACCTCATCAAGCTTAGCACAGAGATCACCATACTGGTGCTGAAGCTGCTTAGTAGTTTTCTCAGCAGCAATCTGAATAACAAGATGAGATTTATGTCCTTTGTTTATTTACTTATTAAGTGTATGTTTGTATACATATGTGTTAACAAATAGAATTACTGCTATGTATGAGTATGTTGTATATCCACATATGATCTTTTTGAAAATGGTGCTACTGTGAATGTTATATTGCTATTATTATAGATTTTTGTGTAATATTTTTACATATGCAAATGAAAGAGAAACAGAAAACACAGTTATACATTCTCACCTTATCACGAGAAAGTGCATCCATTGAAGCCCTAGCATCTTCAGCATCACGCTTCATCGCGTCCTTATCCTTCTCTGTTCTGTTGCGTAATTTTATATAAGTATGTAAGGCAATTTCGTATTCAAAATCACATGGATACAAATCTTTCAAAGTAAATTCGCGATACTTACATGAAGCATCACTTTGCATACTTACCTGGCCTTCATCTTGTTCAGGTAGTCGATCTGCTCAGACATCTCTGCAACAGCGTCGTTGTGCTTCTTACGGAGAGCAGCAAGACCAGATTCGTGCTGAAGACTGGATTCCTCGAGCTCCCGGCGAACCTTAGCCAGTTCACTCTCGCGCTTCTTGTTGATCTCGATCTGAGTGGCCGTGGCGCCGCCAGCCTCGTCCAGTCTCTCGGCAAGATCTCCAACTTCACGAGAAAGAAGGTTCTTGGCCTTCTCAGCCTTGCTACGCGCTTGACGCTCATGTTCAACGTCTTCCTCGAGCTCCTCGAGGCGAGCCTGTAGTTCCTTAACCTGCCTCTGGTCCCTGTATACAAGAGCCTGTTCATCCTCAATTTTGGCGGTGAGAGCTGAAAGTTCCTTATCTTTGCGCTCAACGGCTACTTCAAGCTCCTTGTAGTTGCGTTCCAGATCAGAGACAGCCTCTTGGGTAAGCCTAAGGTCACCCTCAACTTTCCTCTTTGATTTCTCAACTTCACTGCGAAGCTTCTTCTCACGCTCAAGAGAATCCTCGAGTTCGTCAAGAGTGGATTCCAACTTAGTCTTCATCTTGCTAAGGTGGTTGCACTTGTCCTCAATGCACTGGACATCCTCGGCAGTCTTATGATTGCATTCCTGAAGGTGTTTCTTTTCCTTGTTAACCTTGGTGATGAGTTCCTCCTGGTGAGCAATCTCTTCTTTAAGGTTCTGGATTTGTTGTTCCTTGGTGGCCTTATCTTGGTCGCCCTTCTGGACGGCAAGTTCGAGGTCCTCAAGGTCCTTTTTCAGGTTTGCAAATTCTTGTTCACACTTCTTCTTGCCATTACTCAGCTGGCCAGAGGCTTCTTCTTCCTTTCGCACTCGCTCTAACATATCCTATTGGTGAAAAACAAACAAAAAAAAAAACAATACAATTGTCAACTGGTATCACACTATATATATATATATATATATATATATATATATATATATATACATGTATATATGTATGTATATATATACACAATAAAAAAAAATCTAGTTATAAATCATTAATTTTACAGACGAAGATTCCGCTGAAATGTAGAGCAATTACTCCTTACAGTGTGATTATCAACAGGCTATTTACTTACATTTAACTGAGCTTCTAGTTCTGACTTCTGCGCCTGAAGCTTAGCTTGCTTTTCCATGAATTCGGACATACCGCCCTTTGAAGAATCAAGAGCATTCATGAGTTCTGCTCTTTCCTCAAGAAGACTGGCATTTTTGGTCTCGAGTTCTTGGCGCAGTACAATCTCTTTTCGTAATCAGCCTCAGCTTTCTCGGCGAGCTCTTCCAGCCTAATAAGTTCATCCTCGGCGCGTGTGACATTGAGCTTGGGCTTGAGCTTGATCCACATGTCATACCAGAGCCAAGAACGCATGACCTTGAACTTCCTAATATTGCGCTGCACAACGAGGAGGGCAGTGCGCTGCTTTTGCATCTTGGAGTACTGCTTGCGGCTGATGAAACCACGAATCCATGCTTGGAACCAAGACATAAGCAAGGCCACTCGGTCGTCACGGATCTCCTCGAGCCTACCCAGGACACCGGCACGGAAGAACACCTAAGGAGGCAAGGCAGTGTGCTATAGCCGGTGAAGTAACCGTTATCTATCAAACGCTCAAGGAATTCGCTTATTCCTTTCCGCGAAGATTAAATAGACACCATAGAGTATAGAAGAAACATTTTCAATATACATAATGATTATATAGGATATGAAACTTAACATATAGAAAATCCCTATTATCTTGTGTGTGGGTGTGTTGTGTGTCCGCGCGCTCATATGTATGTATATGTGCATATATCTCTCTCCCCATACAGACCTTGGTGTTACCGGTTCGGTATAACTCAGGGTCGAGGCCAGCCTTCTCGAAGCAAGCTGTAGCTGCCTTTTTATCGTCCTTCGCCTCGATCATCTCCTTGGCGGCCAGGATGTTGTAACTAGAAGTAGGAGTTTCCATGACAGAATGGGTTTGCAGCAGAATGGAAACACTTTCTATTAGATCGCGGTTATCAAAATGCATTATCAAAACATGTTACTTGACGATCATTGCCTTATTGAAATAATACCGATAGCAGCACAATTAGCATCCAACTTAAAGTCTCGATAAAGTGAAAAGTACATCATGATTATATATATATATATATATATATATATATATATATATATATATATATATATATATATATATATATATATTTCATATACTGTATAATACTAGTAGCATCGTAACGAATACAAGGAACAGTATTTGTTTAACTCTTTCAAGTTGGCTCATTGTGGAATAGTAGGAAGACAATTATCTTCACCGCATTTTGAGGAAACAACGTACCGAAGCTTGAAATCAGGATAAGGCATCCTGTTGGGGAAGCCCTTCTGGCAAATACGGATGCCCTCAAGTACACCATTACAGGTCAGCTGATGCATGATGAGGCCAGCTTCCACAACGCGCCTGAAACACATCCAGTTTTATTTACAGAGAGAAGCGGGGTTTAAAACTACTAAGAATACATTGTATTATTGTTGTTTTTTTCAGATACGCAGGAAACACTGATAGCTATAGACTTACCTGGCTTCTTGAACTCGTTGGGCACAATGCAACGGATGAAGTGAGGATGAGTGGCGTTGAGGGTTTTCATCAGGTTGCCCAGCTGGTCCTGTGGATAGAGAGAAAAAGGTGTGTAAGGTAAGAGAAAAAAATATATGATGATAAAAAAGGTAAATTGTGGATAGATTCAAATATCAATATTGTTTAATTGGTGCTAGTGAAGATAAATCATGTTATTGTAAAATACTGACCCTGTAACCAGATGACACCGTTTTGAATCCGGTCTGCTGCTTGCCTCCCTTTCCTGTAAAGAAAGCGAAAAAGAAAAGAATGAAACTCACTTATTACAATATACATTTCATATATATATATATATATATATATATATATATATATATATATATATATATATATATATATATATATATATATATATATATATTGCATGTATAAATACTTTTATTTTTCCCTGCATCA